CTGGAAGCTGCTGCTCCACCGAGTTCAAGGCTCCCCAGCCCCTCTGAGCCAGTTTCTGGTCCCCTTCCCGCAGCCTCGGCGGGTGCTCGAGGCTCCAACCCGTTTTTTTGGCTTTAAACACAAAACCCAACTGTTTAGAAGAAATGCCGTTAACCCTTTGCTGCTTTTCACAGACACACCAACCCCATTGTAGAAAATGGACAGATCCATCCGTGCCAAAAAGTCATTCAGGAGGTACGTGCCGGATTCGGGGCAGGAATTTCTGCGGGGATGTCGCGGCGGGCGGGCGGTTCGGTTGCGATCCCCGGCCGCCGGGCAGATCCACGTGTCCGATGGCACCTCTGCCCGGCGTTGGGGAGAGGAGCTGCTGGTGGAGCGCCTTCCCTCCTGGAAGCAGGGATCGGTGATGGGGAGGGGGATTTGGGTCTTCAAATCACTGGAAAGGGGACCTGGCTCTGGAAATGTCCCAGGCATTTTAATTTCCCTGCCCTTGTAACATTTGCAGTGCGGTGCTGAAGCCGCTCTGAGCTCTTCGCTCCTAGGTGAAGCTAATTTACCCGTCCCGTAACGCAGGTGCCTCTCGTTTTTGGGACCTGACAGCACAGGGATGTGGGTGTTTTTCGGATAGGAGGGTGGTGTTGTGGCGGGGTACGCCGTGTCCCGGGTTCAGCTTTAACCCCTCCGTCTCTCCGCACTTAGATCTGGCCCGTGCTGTCGGAGACCCTGAACAAACACAGTGCCGATAACCGCATCGTGGAGCGGTGCTGCCGGTGCCTGCGCTTCGCCGTCCGCTGCGTGGGTAAAGGCTCTGCCGCCCTGCTGCAGCCGCTCGTCACCCAGGTATGGAGAAAACCCTGCTCTCAACGCCGCCGTGGGGACACCGCCATCCCGGGCTTGGAGCCGTCATGGGGCAAACGCTCGCTCGGGTCGCATTGGCAGGCGGGCGCGGTGAATGCCGCCGGCCTCGGGAGATCCTACATAAATCCTTGGGGAAGAGAGAGCCTTCGAGCTGCAGGGGAGAGCTACGCTCTGCCTGCCTGATGCTCTGTGGGTTGTGGGAGCCCTGCGGTTGTATCTGGAATTCGAAAGGCATGCGTGAAACTCCACGCCGTGCCGAGGTAACTGATGCTGGGGGTCCCCTGCTCTGCTCGGTGCTTCCACTGGGCTAAGCAAGGATCAAGGGCGAGGGGAAGCTGCCTTGGCTCTGGGAGCCGCAGTGCGGAGATGCTCCAAAGGGCAAGATCAGGCCTGAACAAGGTGCTTCAGGATGTCCCCTGCCCACCGTGGGGCCGGGGGGAGGTCTGGCGGGCTGGGACGTCGTCCCAGAGAGGAGGTGGGACTGTCAGGCAGATCCCGGCCGGGACGATGGGAGGTAAGGAGCGTACGCTTCACCCCTCCACGGCTCGCCGGAGGGTCGGAGCTGGGGTGGGTCCAGCTCTCTGGGAAGCGTGGGGCTGGCCGAGGAGATCCCCGGCCACGGCAGGGGAGCTGCCGGGTTCCCAGCCGGATCCCGCAGCCGACGGGGCCCCAGCGAGCGGCGCACAGGCAATTCTCTGATGGAAACAGCCGCAGCAGTTTCCGTGCCGGACCCACCGCTGGCTGCGGCGTTGGCGGTGGGCAGGCAGCGTTCGCGGTGCCAGGCAGCGCGTGTCTCCCCGCAGATGGTGAACGTGTACCGGGCCCACCAGCATTCCTGTTTCCTCTACCTGGGCAGCATCTTGGTGGACGAGTACGGCATGGAGGAGGGCTGCCGGCAGGGACTGCTCGACATGCTGCAGGTGGGTGCCGAGAGCCGACGGGTTTGGTGCCCGCATACCTAAACCCTAGAGTCGTTTAGGTTGGAGAAGACCTTTAAGATCATTGAGTCCAACCGTTACCCAGCACTGCCAAGGCCACCACTAAACCATGTCCCTCAGCACCACATCTCCCCGGCTTTTAAATCCCTCCAGGGATGGGGACTCAGCCCCTGCCCT